TTGGTTCTCATTTTTTCCCCTTGTCCCTGCCCTCCCTTCACCCCCTCCTCCCCTCCCCATTTACAAACACTGTATTTCCACTTTTTCATTTTCTCGTATTTTTTTTCTTTTCCCTTATTCCCTTTCCCCTACCCTTCCCACTTTCCCTACACCTTTAGGCCTTCTCTTCCTACTTCACATTGTTAATTGTCCCATTAGCATCTGGTGTACTATTTTAGTTTTTCACACCAGAGAAACTATTTGGCCATAATTTTCTGACATCAGCTAGGGCTTTTCCCTCTATCCCAGCTACCTCTTCCTCCTCTCCCGCCTCTCATTCTTGTCTCGTCTCATTTCTTTCCTTTTTTCTTCTTATGTCCTTATTTTGAGTCGTGCCACTACGTTTAGCTAGCATAGCCCTCACTTCATACAGCCTAAGATCTTGCCCTAGGGCTCCCCAACACAGATTACCAATCATCTGGGATTGGGAGATGATGTGAAAAAATACAGCTTTATATAGGAAAAATATGATCCCTTGATGTAGAGTCAGGGTCTGATCTTTATCAAGGTGCCAAGAGAATGTGGAAGCACATTGAAGTGTGTGGTTGCTCTAAGCTTGCTTCAAAATGTGCCCCCCTCCTCCCAATAATCACACATGTTTGAAATCTGAACCCTTGACCCCATCCTTAAGTGTCCCAGAGCCCCTCAGCTGGGACTCTCATAGCTCCGTACCTCTGAATGCAATCATTCTATGTGTCCTTTGAGGTCCCCTTGTGTGGCCACCACAGACGCTAAGGATTCAGTGAAAGACTGTCAAGATAATATTCCGGTACCCCCTCCAGTCGATCATAGCAGTATATATTTTTTTGTAAGAAGCCTGTTGTCACACTACAGCTATCTGGAGTTCAGCAGCTTTCCCTTGACCCTTCACGCACTGCTCAGGGCACCTTGTGCAATGCAAGCCTCAGATAAGAGCAGCAGTGCCTGCCCCACAGTGCGGCAGCCCAGAGATTCCCCAGCATGGCCGACACCACTATTAGCAGAATGGTTCACTTTGCCTCTGGCCCCTCGCCATGAAAGCCCTCACCCTTAGACTCAATTGCTGGTCACCAGCACCAGCCCAGAGGACAGCCTGAAGGATGAGACCATGATGGGACAGGCAATGTGTTCTCTCTCCAACCAACCCAAGACACTGCTAGTGAAGCTTTCCTTTCTCCTCCCCTGTGCTCAGCTGCCACTACCACCCCCCCACCCAGTGTCTTTGGAACCAGGGCAGAGCCACAGCGGAAGCCCACATGCTGGAAACCTAACATGAGCGCTGCTCAGAGTGACAGCAAGCTCAGTTCTATTCCTCTCAGACACCTCCTTTGGCATCTCTTCTGGAGAGCAAACATCACGTGCGGCTCACTTCTCCTCTCCCCAGGTCCCACAAACGCTGGCTGCATGGATGTTAAGATTAGGAGATGATGTCTTATTTACAAGAAGGAGAGTCCAGAGGTGGACAAAGCAGCACAAATATGCTGTTAGTCTTCCATGTCACCTTGAACCTATCACTGCCTTGCTCTTGGCATCAGTTTTCCTATAAAGAAAGAAAGAAAGAAAGAAAGAAAGAAAGAAAGAAAGAAAGAAAGAAAGAAAGAAAGAAAGAAAGAAAGAATCTCCCTAACTCCATTTTTGTCTGACAACCCATGAAAGAATAATGAGGGATCTTGGTTCTTGAAAGCAAAAGATCGCAGAACAGAGACTCCAAGAATGTGAGTCCAGGGCCACCTGGAGCACAAGCTCACCTGGGAGAGAGGGGAAGAGCGAAGCGAGAAGGGGCTCCCAGCCGGCAGCTGGAAAGGGCTGGACAGGTGCAGAGCCCACTGCTTCTCACTCTAAGGCCCTCTGAGGGGAGGCGGTAGGGGACTGCGTGCCGCACTGGGGCAGGGAGCACAAAGGAAGTGACGGGGAGCCGGAGGGAAGTGGAAGTGGTACAGCCGAGGCCTGGAGGGCCAGCTCTGATCTTTCTAGAAAGCTCGCTTTTACTTCCTCTCTCCTTCACCCCTGACACTGAGTGGGAGTCTGTCGAGATGACCAAGGTACATGTGGAGGATCCTCCCTGTGGGGACAGCCCCCTGACAGGAAGAACAGATGATTCACCACGAGGAATGTTTCTACTCCTCATCTACGTGTTAGTGAGGAGGAGACCCCGGGGGAGCTGGGGATTTTAGGGACAATAAAACATAGACCTCCCTCACCTCCCCCAAAGTCCCCTTCCTGGGCCTTTCCCTTGGACCCAACTCAAATCAAGTTTGTGCTGAGATTTTCCCAGCACAGTCCCACGTGAGCGCTGCCGGGCTCCAGGCCCAGGCTCGGGAATGTGGGCTCCAGCCAAGCTCACTCAATTCCACAAGATCTGGGAACTTCCAAAGCTGCCTAAGAGTGGGGATTTCCATTCTTTTCTCCCACCCTACCACTGACCTACCAGCTGGGAGGTATATTACCCCATGCAGCAAAAGTGAGAGGGAGACAATCGCTTTCCATAAGACTTTCTTTCATGATTCACACCCTTTCACCTTCCATGTGTGTTCTGTCTGAAGCTTGCCATGGCCAAGCCACTGATCCAAAATAATAACCCCACCCTTAATGGAGACCAGGAAGTCTGTGTGAATACTCAGCAGAGCCTTTCTCTGTGGCCCTGGGCCAGGTAGTCTCAAACTCTAGAATATGGCTCCGTTACACAGAAAGAAGAGTGGATGCACAATCTCTCTAGATCCTTTACACCTGGATTTCTAGGAGTGATAGTGATAATTTAAAAGTTCTGCCATTTTTCAACTTTTTGACTTAAAGTAGGTCCAAGAAATGACTGAATTCCATGGGGAAATGGGATGAGTCCTCCAAGTCTGAGCAGAACGATATGTTAACAGATTAAAGAGGGGTTTCCATTCATATGAAGAAAAACCTCTTGGAAGGTAATGTGACATGTTCTGTGAAGAAATGACTGCAGGAAATTGCACAGACTCCATCCTGGAAATATTTCATTCATGCGGTAGGAATGAAGCTAGCCATAGTTAAAGGACTGAGCCAAACGCAGAGGTGTTTCAGCAGTAGTGGAAGGAAAGGGGTAACTAGCAGAAGTCAGCCAGAATGAAAATAAGAGAGATGTAAGCAAAGCAATGTGCAAGTAGATTTGATCCCTCTTCTTTCTTGTATTTCCCCCAAGGATTGAATTCCACTCATTCTCTGCTTTCAGATTCTCTAGAAAACAGATATCTATCATGAGATATTAAGCCCAGTGCCCAGGAGCATGGAATCAGAATGTCCTAGGGGAAATTTTGTCCCACCTATAAGATTAGGAATGAGTAAATGAACTTTGCTTTCTACCTAAGGGATATTCACCATTCACCTGAGGAATGCTGGGTTGTTTGGAGAACTGGAGAGTACTCTAGCACCATGCCTGACTCCTGGTAAGCAGTTAATAATGCCACTGCTGACCACTTACTATGGACCAAGTAACACCAATATTTCCTATAGCACATGTAGTGACTGGCAAGGCGTTCCATGCATTTATACACATGATCTCAGTGATGCTTTATAAGAGAAGAGTTCTAAATCCATCCTTTCCCTTCTGGACAAGGGCACAGCAAGGCTCAAAAGGTTGAAGCAATGTACTGAAGGAGTCTAGAGCCCTGAGTTATAGCCACTGATGGGCCTCAGGATTCCTATCATATTTGTAAAAGAAAGTTGTTCACTGAAATGAATGCTAAGGTCTTTTTTTTTATAATTATATAATCACATGGTTTCTAAGGAAATTAAAGCCGCAAATACAGACTGAAGCTAAGCATTTCAATTCCTGAAATTTGGTTCTTCTGCTCACTCATGCTCCCTGGAAATTAAGAAATAAACCAGGAGGACAGCCACCCTGATGGAGAACGCACTTCTTACCCAGTACTGCATGCTGGGCTAAGCACAGGTCCCTGGCTCACAGCAATTTAACCACAAGGAATGTTTCTTGATACTCCTATAGCTGTCTACTGGTTTTGGAAGACACTGAACACAGAGTGAGGAGCCAGACACACAGTCAGCCAGGTGAATGACCAGTGTCACTGTGATGTCAGCACAGACCCTAAGGGCAAGCTGCTTGCATTTCCTTTTGGTAGTCTTTTTCCTTTTTTTTTGGTGCCAGGGATCAAACACCAGCCCTTGCACTTGTGAGGCAGGCGGCGGAACCACTAAGCCAAATCCCCGGCCTGTTGCATTTCATTTTGGAGGACCTTGGGCAAGTCATACGTAAAACCTGTATGGGCCTCAGTTGCCTAATGTATAAAAAGGGAATGAGCAATACCTGCTTGAATTTGAAGGCAACATCTCCAAAAGTTTTAGAACATTCCTGGCACAGAGTAAGCTGAATGAATATTATATGAAAACTTCTGTGGCAAGACTTGATCGGTATGGTTTCTTCCAAGTGCAAAATGTCACAACTTAGAAATCAGTTTAATGTTTACAAAATCCTGCAGTTCTTCAAGGCAGTCACTGTGCTTTCACTCTGTCATTTTAAAGAGAACATGGATTTAATGCACTGTGAGGGAGCCCACCAAGGCTTCAGAGCCCTTTCTCAGCTCAAAGGCTCCTTGGGCTGTGGGACAGGGCAAGCCCTGACTTGCTTGGCAAACCCCTCGAGACCTCAGTTTCTTTGCTTTCTTCCTTTCCTGTGACTTCAGTTTCCTTCCTTTTACTTAAGAGAAAGCAGAATCCTTAAGAATAACCCACGGGGTTCCTACGTGTGGGCAGACTGGGCATATAGCCAACCTACCCCCCTCCCCAAAGTGCTCCTGCCTTCTTTTGCCTCAGCAGTAGGTTAAAAAAACAAGTGTCAAATTCTGACCCACAGCTTCCCCCTTCTACTTCCTGGAAACCTTCCAGGGTGCTGAACTTGCTCAGCAGATTCAGATTCCACTCGTCATTCATTGATCATGTTGCTGCCATAAGCCAAACCCTCTTGCCTGACTCCACCCTCTTAGGTTTTAATAAAAAGCAAAGACAGAGCCACGAGAAAAGCAGAGAAGCTGAGACCAGCTCAGAAACCTCTAACTCTCCAGCTGAAGCTGGTGCTCCTCTTCTCCACCATGCAGGTCTCTGCAGTCATTCTGTGCCTGGCGCTCACAGCAGCTACCTTCAACACCCTCCTGCTGGCTCAGCCAGGTAAGGCCTTGCCTCCTTCTTTCCATAGCACATCACGCATCTCTGGGTTACCATGGACCGGCACAGCACAAGGGTACCCTCTTCTCACCTTAGCAGTTTGTCCAACATGAGGCAGCTCACAGCACAAGGAGAGAGCCTAATCACACTGCTGCTCCAGGATAAAGAGGTTGAATTCCAGCTGTAGACTCCTAATCCAGCTCCTTGCAGGGTTGCTGCTCTGGAAACACACTTCTCCAGCTGCTTTCAGTATACTAGGGGGCTTGGGTGACCAAAGAGAGGGGCATCTGGTGGCAGGGTATTTCCAGATACAGGAAAGAGGGAGAAGACCCAAAATCTGGACTATGCTTCTTTCAGCCCAGCTTCCAGAGCCAGTGACCCTGCAGATGCAATAGTTATCAGGGACACTCAGGACCAGGCATGGACTTTTGGAGTTTAAAAGGAGGCCCCACAGCTAGGATCCTCAGCTGATTTTTGGCCCTAATAATTTGAATTAGTAGCTCTTTCTAATAAATTTTCCCTGAATTACCTAGTTTTAACAGCTCCGCTCTCCCTTGTCTATTACCAACATTGCACACCCATTTTATAGAATGGCAAAATGAGTCAGTGCATCAAAGATCTAACTCTAGCTTTGATAAAATACTAGGATTCAATAGGTTCTACCTCTACCTCTGCTGTCCCTTTTCCTTCTTCTCAAAATTCTTTTCTTCTCTAAATTCAGAAACATGTAACCCACCTAAAATGCCTTTGCTTTGTGGTTTATTTTCTAGATGGAGTTAATGCCCCAGCCTGCTGCTATAAATTTAACAAAAGGATCCCGCTGAGGAAGGTGGTGAGCTATGTAAAGGTCACCAGCAGCAGGTGTCCTAAAGAAGCCGTGATGTGAGTTGAGCATACCAACCCTAACTGGTCTAAAGTTCTCCCTTGGAGAGCAAAGAATAATCCCCACAAACTTAGAGTCAAAGAGTTGTACCCTCAAACCCAATGCCCAACCATTTCAAATGGGAAAACTGAGACCAACAAGGAAAAGTTGACTCTCAGCATCATTCTGCATATGGCTGTATATTCAGGCCACCCCAATTTCCTCACCCTAAAATCATAATGGATGGATTCACCTGGGAAATCTGGTAAAGCAGCTGCTCCATGTTCCCTTCTCCCACCTGCCTCCTCCTTTACCTCCCATGCCTGCCCATTGGTGTAGAGTAGGCTGTGCTAATGCACTGAAACTGCAGAGGTTTAACTCTGTCCTCTCTCCCACAGCTTCCAGACAATAGCGAACAGGGAGATCTGTGCTGACCCCACTGAGAAGTGGGTCAAGGACTACATTGCCAAAGTGGACCAGAATACCCAACTGAAACAGAATTCAACTGCACCAGCAACTTCAATCCCCTTGAACGCTAGCTTCACAACCCAAGAGCCCAAGAACCTGTAGCTAATTTATCTAGCATTGTATTTCCTCAATAACCTCTGATACTAGTATGAACTTTATTAATAAGAAATGTGATTCCTTAAGTGATATTAATCTTATTTAACTTATTGGTGTTTTATTTTTATACTTGGGAACTTTGTTTTCTTTCTATGAAACCTAATTCTACACCTAGGATGTTATTGAGGTCTTCGCAAGGATCTTCAATGCCAAAAAATTTTGTTTTAAATTTCAAAACACTGCTAAAATATTATTGTGGAGTTGAATATTATATAACTATTGAATTAAAAATATATATTTTTGTATAAAACTTGACTTTTGGTGTTTGCCTGAAGGAAACCATGAGCTGAGATTATGAATTATATAGGTGAAGTACAACTACCAACCCATTAGAGGTTAGATGTGCTGAGTTCATGTCCCCTGAGACGATGGAGGTAAAGAATAACAAAATTTTGAGAGACAGCTCCTGAGAGGCAGAGGGGATTCTGAAAATGGGTTGCCACTGAGGTCCTTTGTCAGGTGTAATTTACACAGCAAAGTCACAATGTGGGTACAATGTGGGTAAAATTACAATCAACCTATAGGATTATAAGTACAGCCACTTAGCTAATATTGATGCAATAAGGAAATGAGTCACATAGCAAGGGTACATGGAGAAACTAAATGCATCCTTGGGAAATGATGGGTCCATATGCTCTGGTCACCTACTTGGGCAACTGATGCCTATCTGAACTTACTGGACCAAGTTATATCTAATTTAACTGCTGATAGTGATCCCCCTATGAAGAGGTAACCATAACTATGGTATCTTAGCTATTTTTCTCTCCTTGCTGAAACAAAATACCTGACACTCAAAGTTAAAGGGGGAAAAGTTTATTTAGCTCATAGTTTGTAGAGGTTTCTGTCCATAATCAGCTGGCTCCAAGGTAGGGTGGCACACAAGAGAGACAGTTCATGGTGGCCAGAAGGTGGTGAAGCAATAAGGGACAAGCCAAGCCTCTTTCTGTCCCTTCTATTGTATTCAGGCTACTGGGATTAGGGCAGTGCCAAACTATTCAGTGGGCTGATTAGTAATCACACAGCCTTCATCCAAGCATTGCACCATGAATCAATCTCGCACTCTAGATCCAGCCACCTCTGGAAAAAAACCCACCTATGACCACATGAGGCTTTGCAGGGAGGCATCAGGCACAAACCATAACATGCAATTAGGGGAGAATGGGTGTAGTTTCAATCTAGCCATTTCAAGGTGAGAAGGGTAGATGTAGGGGATACTGCAGTCTGGGGGTTTCTCCAGAAAGCCAATCCAACTGGCTGTGGAGGGAAATTGTGCTGCAGTTTGGCAGTCATGAACTCCTTTTACAAGGTCAATCTAGCCAGAGATTTAGCTCAGTGGTTCCACTGCCTGCCTCACAAGCACGTAAATTACAAGGTCAATCTAGTGGATCCCAGTGAAAGGAGTCTGGCACATCTGTGGTTGGTTCCATCTGCATGATCACTTGGAGTTTGGCATCCTCTAGATGAGAATAAACAACCTTTGCCAAGAGATTAAAGCACATACAACCAAAGCAGGAGCACTATAATGAAAAGGCAAATTGGAGAATGGAGCCACATTAGACACTGCTCTTAGTGGGCCAGAACAGTGACTGTAGCTGGCTCCTAGACCAGTCTACTGATGCAGGTTATCTATATGTCCAAGACCTCATCTGAATTATTCATATGAAAACTACAAATTTAATTTATTATGGTACACAAGTCCCTCCAGTTTTAGCTATAGGAAGATGGAGAGTTTGGTGATTTTGGAGGACAATTTTAGCTGTGGAATTTAAAGACTCTTGCTGAGCCTTTACAGCTTCCAGTGTAGCTTTCTAGTCTCATTAAACCATAATAATGTAAGCTGCAGGTGTAGCTGGAAATTCCAAGCAAGGGTCAGAGATTGGAGCCCCATTTTAGTAGCTAGCTTTTATTACTATATTAGTTTTTATACATCTTCTAGGTATACTTTTCTACTGCGTGTTTAAGATCAAGTTAAAGTGAGATATGTGTTAAGCAAAATTAATCTTTCTTTCTATTAGGTCAGGTAAGACTTCAGAGGTTACTTTTGGAACCATTTACAGAGTCTCAGTTCCCTCCATCAGTGCCAGCAGGCAGGATGGGTCACAATCTTGCTTGATCATGTGGCAGCCTGGGAGACATTTTTCTCTCCTTGGCGACCTACCTTTTTAGTATGCTGGATCCTCTAGGTACCAACAGTCTCCCTACTCAAGAGACCGAGTGATTTACCAAAGTTGTAGGATCTTGGAGAAAAGCTCCTTTCATGCTCTTTCTGGGTCCTTGTTGATCTTGGAGTGTCAGGACCAAAATATTGGCTGTCGTCTTAGCCCAGTTATCTCTCTAGCTCTCTGAGGTCTCCAAACCTCAGTTGTTGAACACCAAGGAGATCAGTTACATTCTAATTTTATGATCTTATCTAGATAGCAAGCAACTTCAAATACATAGTATAACCAATGAACTGTTATTTTTTTTACCAGTCATGGTTGTCTTAGAAGTTGAATTCCTGCAGAATGTTAACAGATAACAATTATGAAGTCTTCCAGAGAAAACCTGAGATCAAGAGCAGCATATCAGCTTAACATAACATGGTGACATTATTATATTAGAACTATTAGATTTTCTTATTATCACTGAAACACATTTAAATGCTCATCTCAGTATAGAATAACTTTTCAGTTACCTTTATCTAATTATGAGATATTAAGTGAAATAAAGAAACATTTCAATAGAGTGCCATTTAAGAAGAATATACTTGTTCATAGATGTACTTTATAGGTTATTGATGTCTAATTTTTAATTTCTAGATTGACACTGCCTGAACTACACAGTGTTCAAGTATCTCTAAGAGTTATAAGCATACATAATAACACAGAACAATCACATAAGCATAAGCCTTGAAAAAGTATCTATATCTTCTGGTTGACTCTTTGATATTGTATTGTCATTCACATTTCACTAGTCAGAACACAAGTAAGGTAAAGACAGATCCTTAAAAGTTCATGATAATAAACAACTTTAGCTAGAAGTCACAAATGTGATATTTTTTCAGTTTTGTTTCTTGGAAGGTATGTATCTTTGCCCTTTCTGCTTCCTATTTCACATTATTATACATTTGATCTTACACTTTCAGTTTTACACACCAGGAGACTATTTGCTATTTACACATGTGAGTCCTATTTATTTCACTTGAGTATCACCTCAATGTGCACACATTTAGCTATAAATGCCTCTAATTTATCATTCTTTGTGGCTGAGTAGTACTCCATTTTTTTTTTAATCTCATTTTCTTTATCCAATCTCCAGTTAATGGGCAATTGGGCTGTTTTCATGTTTTAGTTTTTACAACCTGTGCCACTACAAACATGGGTGAACTGTGGTATGATTTTTTAAAATTCTTTTGGGAAGTTACCCAGCAGGGGAATAGCTGGGTCAAATAGCACTTCTAATACTAGTTCTTTGAGATATCTCCATAGTGATTTCCACAGCAGTTGCACCACTCTACACTTCAACCAACAGTGGATAAGGGTTCCTTTTTCCACACAGCCCCAACAGCATTTGCTATGAGTTGCTTTCATGATAGCTGTCATTCCTTTTGGGGTGAGGTGGAATGTCAGTGTTGTTTTCGTTTGCATCTCTCGAATGACCAGTGATGTTGAACATTTTTCCATATGTTTATTTACTATTTCTACTTCTTTGGCTGATAAATGTCTGTTCATTTCACATGCCCATTTCTGGACTGGATCTTTAAATTTGGGAGGACTGCTTTGTAAGTTCTTTATATATTCTAAATAGTAGACCTTTGTCTGAGGAATAGCTGGTAAAAATTTTTCCCACATTTTGGGTTTTCTCTTCACACTGTTGGTAGTTTCACTTGCTGTGCAGAAGCTTTTTAAGAAGAAAAGATCCCACTTGATAATTGTTTGTGCTAGTTCACATGCAACTGAGGTTTTGTTCATGATATCTTTTCCTATGCTAATGTCTTCAAGAGTTCTACCTACCATCTCTTCCAGACAGTTTAGTGTTTCTGTTTTAATATTTAGATCTTCAATCCACTTTGATTTTAGTTTAGTGCATGGTGAGAGACAAAGGTCTACTTTTAATCTTTGGCAAGCTGAAAGCCAATATTTCCAGCACCATTTATTAAACATGCTATCTTTCCTCCAGTGAGAGTGTTGGGCTCCTTTGTCAAAGATGAGGTGGCTGAGTGGGTCTGGAGTTGTATTTGCATATTCTAATCTGTTTCACTGGTCCTCAGGTCTGTTTCTTTTCCAGTAACATGCTGCTTTTATCACAGTAACTTTATATTATAGTTTCACATTGGGGATTGTGGTATCCCCACTTTGTCTTTGTTGCCTAGAATTGCTTTTGCTATTCTAAGCATTTTCTTGTTTCAAGTGAAATTTTGGATTGTTTGCTCAAGGTCTGTGAAGTATGGTGATGGAATTTCAATTGGGATTGCATTGAATCTATATAGCCGTTTTGGAAGTACAGCCATTTTCACTATATTAGTTCTTCATACCCAGGAGCAAAGGATCTTTCCATTTTCTGATATCCTCTTTGATCTCTTTGTTCAGAGTGCTATAGTTTTCCAAGTAGGAGTCTTTGATTTCTTTCATTAGGTTGATCCCTAGGTATTTTTGAATGCTATTGTGAAGGGAGATGTTTCTCCAGTTCCTTTTTCAGTGAGTCTGTTGTTCATGTACAGGAAAGCTATTGATTTTTCTGTGTTGACCTTGTATCCAGCTACTCTACTGAATTTGGTTATTAAATCTAGAATACTTTTGGTGGAATTTTTGGGGTCTTCTATATATAGTATCATGTCATCTGCAAATAATGACAATTTGACTTCTTCATTTCCTAGATTTATTACTTTTATTTTTTTCTCTTGTGTAATTGCTGTGGCTAATGTTTCCCAAACCATATTGAATAGAAGTGGTTATCCTTGTCTTGTTCCTGAATCTAATGTGAAATTTTTCAGTTTTTGATCACTTAATATGATATTCACTGTTGGGTTTTCATAGATGGATTTTATCAGGTTGAGGTAGAGACCATGTAGTCCAATTTTTGTAGGGTTTTTATCATGAATATATGTTTTGAATGACTTTTCATCTATTGAGATAATCATATGGTATTTGTCCTTGGCTGTATTAATATAGCATATTACATTTATTGATTTTGGTATG